CCCCCCCCCCAGTGGCCGTCTGGAGTGCAAGGAGTAACATGTGAGCGTCATCCAGGGCAGCATTGTTTTCTTGGGCATGGTATCGAGAAAAAGGGAGCGTTCTTATACCTACGGTTTCTTCCTCGCCACGGCCATCTGCACCTTCAACTGCATAATTTCCGACTCCATTGCCTGGTCCTTCGTCTTTTCCGCCTTATTCTCGCCACGCCTAGCAGCCTCAGCCGCCTCCCACTTATCTCTGTCTTGGCCTTCTGTCCTCGCTCATCGGCACGCACATCCCTCGCGTGCTGGTGATCCAGTTGCCTTCCATCACGCTCCCGCTGGCACCGACCCGCCGCCATTGACTCGCTCCTGATTGCCGCAGCTTCTTTCCTGGCCGACCTCCAAACCTCATGTTGCTCTTCAGGCTGGAACGAGCGCGCCGGCATCCTTTATTTTGGACACGACAAGAAACGATACATCAAGCCGCCTTTGGATGCATGCTCGTGCAGAAGATGTTGACAATACCACTGGGCATGGCGTAGTAGGCAACCTGGAACGAGGTCGGTCGACTACGCTGATACAAGTGAGAATGGGTATACAGATGGCGCCCGCACTTAAGAACCTCTAGTCTCGGTCGAGGCTGGGGTTTTGCTGATCATCCTCTCGTGGGCTACAAATGGCCGCAATATAGGTTTTAGTGTAGGGGTTCTCAACCGGGCTCACAAATGATGCTCCAGTTCTTAGCTTCTGATTTTTTCGAGTCTCAATTTCTTAACTGCTAAATTCTTGAGTGCGGGCGCTATCTGTACCTTAACTTTCGAAGAGACAACAAGATAATGCACTCCATGAAACGCAAACCTGGAACCAACCCAATCGTTTGGACCCGTTTTGTGAAACAATCCAACTAGTTTACGGTCAGCACGCTTACCTGTTGATATCCAACTCCTCCCTCTTGTTGGTGTTTGTGCCGTTCTTCCTACCACTCTTGCCCTTACGCTTGGTTGCTTGTCGGGAGGCGCATCGCTGTCGCCGGTAATCACCGTCGTCGTCAGCGCCGCCGCTGCTGCCACCGCCGGCTAAGTTCAACGGCGTGTTGCTGCCATCGAAAACCAGTCGAGACGCCAGAGCCCTCGTCAGCCCAACAAAGATCCCCAACGGACGATCCCGAACCGACCACTCAAGGCGGTACCTCCGGGCATTGAGAAGTTCAACGTCTTGCTTGTAGTGGGCTTTTCGGCCTTGTCTACTCCAGGAACATCAGACGTACCTACGAGGTCGAGGCCGTTGGCGTCTTCATCGCCTGCAAATGATATCCCTCACAAACGCGTCCACCGATTTCCCATCCCTAAGTCCCACGAGGTAGCCCGCAATCATATCCTCCATCATCTTCGTTGCGACATCACGCGCGATTTAGTCAGGACTTAAATCCCGTGTTGAGGAAAGGTCCGCCTGCTCAGGCGTAACGTTCACTCTCGACGCAAGTTTCGCGATCGTCGGTGCGCGTTGCAGGTCGGCAAGGGCGCTCTCAAGCGGGAGTGTCGATATGACCCCACATATGACCCCACCCCCCGGTAGCTGGGCTGGATCGGCCGCTCCCGCTACAACTACCGCTACCGCTACCGAAACCGGCCCCGCCGCCGGTGGTAGCGGGGCTGGATCGGCCGCTCCCGCTTCCGCTCCCGCTATCGGACATCGTGAACCGAGGCATGCGTCCCTTGTTGCGCATGACTCCCTCCATCCGGCGCTCGTCGCTGGCGTGAGCTTCTCCGTAGGACGACGCAGCTGTTCCCGCTCCGCACCGGCTGTTGCCCATCTCAACGGCTGATTGGACAAGCAAGTTCTGGCCCGCCTTCCTCGCCCATCATCGACCTCATGCGGCCTTGCTCTTGCTTCTGTTTATGACCGTCAGCTTTTCTTCACCACCGCGCTTTGCTCACTCAACGCGTGTTCTCTCCACACTACCTTCAACTCGGTAAAAAGTATACCGCCCTACATACGACGGCAGGATATCGCACCGGGCACGCAACACCCGGCACGCCGCGGAACCTGATATCGCACACATAGACTGCTGTGGTTCCATGCTGCGACTCATGCGAAGAAAATTCTGCTCCATTATCCACCAACGACAGCCCATCACCTCACCACAAGTCAAGTCTTTGGACCGAGTGCGGCGGGCCCACTTTAATACATGCACAGTAGCCGGATGCTAGAAGTCTGATACGTGGCACCATGATCGATCATGATGCATCGTGTTCGGTGGTTACACATGCGTGCGAGCTATGCATCCTTATGCATACAACTCGATATGCATGATGGGTGCACACACTCACCGGCGGTGAGCAGCATCAGGTCCGCTGACGTGTTTCACTACACCGAGGTTCTCCACTTGCTCGTCTTGTTGCCCGCGGGAGCCATACTCGATGGCTTGGCCACAGCCAACACCTCCGCGTCGGAGTCCTCCCTCTGCACCGGAGTCTCTTCTCCACCCAAGCTCATCACCTTTTGCGCGTGCCCATGGCCTGCCGCCCAAAAGGATGGGCGCAGGTAATCTTCTGCCTCCCTAAGAACTGCCTTCTCGCGGGAAGCTCTAGGGTCAAGCCCTTTTCATGGGGGTGAAGGACCTCGAGCTCTGACGGGAAGCCATGCTGCTGTGTTGCAAGGTAGCCTCCTTAAAATCTGAAGGCCACTTTTTCGAGAAAGGAAAAGCCTCTACTTGTCTATAGCTGTAAAGTCGCTCTCCAGATTCAGGAGCTCGATGCTCCCCCGCGTTGAGGAAGTTCCCAGAACTGGACCCTTCCACCTGAATCTACAAGTGTCGTGTTCCGACCTCCCCAACATCAACACAAGAATTCGTCTGTTTGTATTGTCCTTTCCTCCCCAAAGACAAAATACTACTATTTACTACTGTGTAGCCTGTTACCCTCAGGGGAATTCTCGCTGTATGCTGCTCGGGAAATCGTAGAAACATAGGCAGCTTCAACTGACGCTATAAATTCGTTGCTAATCTATCTGAGACTCTTGTCTATGGATAGAGATGGATTCGTTTGGCCATATCAAGAGAAGAAAAAAAAAAAGCTACTTCGAAGAAATACAAAAAAAAATACATAGTAAAATCAAACAAAACATAACATACAAACGCTGCTGTTGTTTTGCGCCGTCCCATGGGTATCATTTGCGGTTTGCGTGTGTCCATCTCATTCGCTTAAAACAAAGGAGAGTTCCCCCTCCCCTTCACCATGCGTCTTCATCGTGTGCCTTCAACGCGATTGCATCGCGAGGAAGATTTAGCGGGAGTATTCCTTCGTCGACCGTGAAGTCGAGTGTCGCGTGCTTATGACTTGATCCATTTGAATTGATCACTTTCCATCAATTTTTCTTAGACAACGTTCCAAACATTTATATTGCAGGCCAATGAAGTATTAACTGTCGCAACACCTCTCCTTTCGGAATTCGGAAGAAGAACAGTGTTTCTTGAATTACTAAACGCAACAACAGCAGCCGTTTCACTTTCTCGTTACGACGTGATGTTGAAGGACAACGACACTTGAGCGTGTAGGGTGAGGGAGAAAGCACACAGAAATTTCGGTCGTCTTCGTTTCTTCCCTGGCGAAACGAGGACAACGCACAAAAGTGGGAACATTCCTCGACTGCGTACGACACTGTCCTCTTTTCAGTACGTCTCCCTCCCCACTCTTCAAGGAAAAACCGTTGTCGCAGGCTACAAACCCAAATAACAGCACAAGGGACTGCTGCTAGATTCTCAAACGGTGAACCATTTCGAATGTAACGACGGCAACACAACACGCTCTCCGTTCACTCACCGTAACGAACAGGTGCCTGTTGCCGGGATGCACGTGCACGGTATTCACCTTCTTTTCGTGGGCCTCGCGCTTCCAAACCTGCGCCGGCCCGTCCGTCCAGAGAGCAAACCATGATACCCCCACCAAGAAGAAAAGAAAAACACACATGAGTAGTATGTTGTTTTCGTCTTAACATTTCAAACCGTTCGAGTACTGGTCCAAACTGACGCGGGTGCCTTCCATGGTGAAAGGCTAACTACCCGACAAATCCCGGGCGCAGAAGCGATGCCCAAATACGTCCAAGCATGCCCTTGCTCCGCAGCTAGCAGAACAGGAGGCGGCACAAAGCGGCAAGAAGCCGAACACGGCCAACCGACTACTACCGCAGCGTTCGGGAACAAGTCGTTACCTTAGGACAAGCCAGAAAAGGGAAATGAAGTATAGCATGGGATAACAACCTTCGAGTCAGGATTGGAAGGACGTTGGGGTTAGTTAGGGAGAGGGCAGCTTCACCAGCTGTCACTGTCGTATCCTGCACCATAGGGGAAACAAAACGGGCAAGAAGATACGGCGGAATAAAAACCAGTCGTCCAAATGTTCCAAATGTTTGTTTAGGAGCGTTCGCGCACAAGAGCGCAGGTATCAAAGGTACGCTTTGTGCGTTTGATCGTGTATGGTCTAGCAGAGGGGATCATGTCAGATACCACGTGCTTCGGGTAGGCACGCGGCGCGTTTTTGATTGCTCTCACTTGTGTGGTGGTGCGGAGGTCTACGGCCGTGACATCGCCCACACCGTCGGATAAGAGCAGCAACCTGTCCTCCGCAACCAGATGGCCGTCCGTGAAAAACGCGTCTTCGCCGGCCTTGTTCCCAAACACCTGGTACAAAAAAAGCGGACCCAGTGTAACGCGGGGTGGGGTTTAATCATGTAAAGGCATGCCGTATCCGTTGGACTTCGCATCCCTCCAATGCCGGGACGACGCGATATGTTAAGTTTTCGCCGGCCCAGGCTACATTCGTTTCACAAGAATGAACAAGAAGTTGGTCATCACCCCTGCGGTTGCTGTGCCAAACCAGACGGGGACTTGTCAATCCCCCATACAACCAGTAGCCACACGCATATGATAGTCGCTCACCTGTTCGAAGGCACCCTTCTCTACGTCCATCCTTCTCACAGTCCCGTCATAGGACGTGGAAAGCATCTTGTTGCCGTCCAACGGGTCGAAAGTCATGCGGGGCACTGCGCCGGTGTGAGGCTTGAACTGGAACACCCCGTGCGCTGCGTCGTTATCGTCGGTCTCATCCACGGTCCACAGTCCCACGTTCCCCACCTTTCGGAAACAAACCCGTGGTACAATGTCCCGACACAAAAAAACACAGGAACAAGGTCAAGGGTTTCGGTAGGTGGAGATTTGCCTTGTCTTTCGTCGCAACTGCGCTAGAGATTGGTATCCTTGCTCTCGCCCGGACGTCGCAGCAAGTTAATAAATTTTCCTACAAACCTTGCCTCCCACAGCAAGCCAACTTAACACATCTAACGACCTTGTCTCCCACAGCAAGAAGAAGCTTGTCCCTGGAAGGGTGCCAGGTCGTGCTGTACGCTCGCTCCCTCACCACCTTGCACACGCCCGTCTCCTCCACCTTCAGGCAGGATAACCTTAACAGTAGACCGTCGGCCAGGCAAGCGCGCGCGCGAAACGCAAGGTACCAATTTGAACTTAACCTCTGTGACAACAGTAGGCCAAAGGGGAGCACTTGCCGCCTTGACTGACTAAAGTGCAGAACAAAAACGGCCCTTCCTCCCTTTAGCCACAAAAAAAAACTCTCGAGCAGACTTCCAGTGAGACATATTTTCAATCGGGTGTACTGCACAAGTTCATCTAGTGCGCCCCACCATAGCTGCCTCTATAGAGTCAGCAAAAAGAAGCACACCCGAACACTCTCAAACCGTCTAACTCCTTCTGATCAACAAAGATCTTTCATTAGCCCGCTGTCGCGCAAGTCAACAGAAACGGACAGCGAGCAATGGCCGCGAAGCAGCCAAGGCCACAACAAGTTCGATTGGCATATTCACCAGCTCCACCCGACCACTTTGAAGACTTGCTATAGACGAGGCATGATTCCGCACTGAAATAAGAATAGAAAAAACAGCGCTGGAAAAAGGCTTATCCATAACAATACCTTTTCAAGGCGTCGTCCGGCTCGGCTAGCTCATAGTCCTCTTCGTTGCCGTCCCTATCGTAGCGACCAACAAGCCCACCCATCATCTTGAGAGCACCACACAAACAGCAACGTTGAGGCGTCACCACAGCGAATAACAAGAGTGGGAGAGACTTCGAAGCATACGAGTCACAACTCTGCGCGCGCGAAATTGCAGCACACTAGGCTGCGGGTCATATTTTTCGATACTCGGTACAATGACCTCTCTCTTTCAACAACAGAAACAAATCTCACTTCCCGGCCGTCCCGGCGAGCGACTCAAACGGCGCTTACTTCGTCCGCCTTGCTAGGATTTACGCCGCACTCGTCGGCGTCCGACTTGCGCCGCGACAACGCACAAACAGGCATCGTGCACTTCGAGCAACGAGCGGCGCTAGCCGAGGTAACCGCCCTTTCCCGGGCCTTCGGCGTGAGAAGAAAGCAGGCGATACAATGACCCGCCTAAGCAGTGCGTGGGCTTGAAAGGTCACAGCGATTACAGAGTCATAGCAGTCCCAAAAAGCAGCACCCAGGTAAAAGATGAAAACCCGCCTGAGCAAAACGCTGGCTTGAACGGTCCCAGCGATCACACCATCACAGCAGTCCCAAGCAAACCAAAGGAACCCACCACATCCATCGAACGGGTCCCTCGGACACGCAAAACCCTGAACATATCGTAAGTCCAAAAAAGAACTTCAGATTCCGGAAGAGCCGAGGATATTGCAGTGGGATCATACCTGTCTCAGGCGCACAGTCCCGTCCAGGGTGCCGTTGGTTTCCTCCATAGAAACGTCTCCCTCAATGCGAGGCGACCTAGGCGATGCCGCCGCCGCCGCCGCCGCCGCAGCCGCAGTCGTTCCCTGACCGTCGAAGCCCTGCCTCCTACGATTGAACGCCTCTTCCGGGTCCTCCATCGGCAAACCCTCTGGCGTTTTGCCTCGCACGCGTGCAGATTCCCTGCGTGTTGAGGTGGCATGGCAAGGTTTGTGGTCAGACAAATAATCAGATACATGACTACTACTTGTAAGCTCAAAATTTATAAGAGCGGGATGCACGATATAAGCGTTAAGAGTCTTGCCGTTCGTCATCCAAGGGATCCTTCCATGAGAGCACGGCAGCGTGATCACGGAATGATGCAAAAGTTGAGAAAAAAAATGGCAGCAGGACAAACCAAAAGCTAGCTGCCAGTTGGTTATGACGTTTCGCAACCTCAACAGCTCACAAAGCTGACGTGATTTGACTCGAACAGCTTAGCAAATCTCAGCGAACCAAACAGAAAAATTATGTAGACAGCAGTCTTACACGGATGAGCTGAAGGTAGGCTTCCATCCCCCCAACCCCCAAGCCATGGTTAAGCCACGGTTGCTCTGGGTGGTACGAGACTCGCAACATGAGGTTTGCTATTAAGGCAAGAACATGACGGAAGTGCGAGCACCGCTTGTGGATGCTGATGCGGCACCATATGTCTTCTCCAAACCAAAAAAGAAAGATGGAAACAAACCAAACCTGAAAAATACAGGAAAACAAAGTGAAAAAAAGCCCATTAATAAAATAAACAACACGAGCACATCTCCAAAAAAAAACACACCGAACTATCTTGACCCACTGCGAGGCCTTTCTGCCGTGTTTTTCTTGACGGGCACATCTACAAAAAAAAACACGTCGAACAATCTTGACCCACTGCGAGGCCTTTCTGCCGTGTTTTTCTTATCGTTGAACGAGGGCACAGCCTACGCCCCGGTGATGCGGTCACAAACCTCGGAAATCTTTTGACCCTGGGTTGTAGGCTCGGATCTCTCCCGCTGTGGTAAACTTATTGAGCTTCGATATTCTTCAGCCTCAAGCTGGCAGCTCTCAGGTTTCAAACAAGTAGTGACGCAAGTCTGTACATAGTTCGGGTGTTTCTTCCTCGTCCGTTCACCTCCTTCTGAACTGTATTGCGCCCAAGGGTGTACAGTTCGAAACGTTTGCGTAGAAAATCATAAACCATCAACAACCGCAACACACGTAAAGATCACCTGCTTCTGGCAGGATAGACCTTGTTCGGCCGGGGCCCTAGGCCCCGCGCCTTCGCCCTCTGGGCCGCGTCGCTGTTGACAGCCTTGCGCATGCTATCCTTGGCGCCGCCGAGGCCCAGAGACGCCATCATCATCGCGTTTTCTTTCATCTTGGCGAGCCTCTGCAGCTCGTAGGCCGAGGGTCCGTTCTCCTCTTCCTTCTCCGGCTTCTTCCCCTCTTGGCTTGCGGCACGAGCGCCGCCGTTAGCCGCGGCCTCGGGTGCGGTAGCGCGTCTCTGCCGCTTGGCGTTCGGCGGCCCGCGAGCGCCATGACCACCACCGCCTGCTACTGGTTCGGTGGCGGTCATTACCTTTCCCGGAGATAGTCTGGGCGAACGCCTCGCACTCATTTTCTCGTGGCCTTACTGAAGAATCTAGCGAAGAGGGTTTACGCGTATGACCAGGTCCACAAAGAAGCTGATCCACCGTGAAGATAGACCTGTGAGGTATGTCGAGTCAGGTAGCACGAGGGACAAGTAGTGAACGGAGCCCATATGGCGTAAAATGCTGTTGTTGCAAGCGTGCCCTCTATCTCTAGCCTTTCCCGTGTGGAACAACATAACCTCTGTTCACCGACGTGCAAGCTGCGTGCACTCGCTGGGGATCTGAGCTGTATAACTTTCTTAGAAGCCAAAATCAAAGCATTAGACTGTCAGCGCTGACTAGTCTATCTAATGGTTTGATTTCGGCTTGTATATCTGATCTGCCCGGGTAAAAGTCCTGGCGCCTGTCTTTTTGTCATGTTGGTCCAGAACGGCGCTCACGCTCGTAGCATAGTAAAATTTCATACTCCAGTAGCAGCAGTAGCATCGGCAACGCCGTATCGATGAAGAAGGGTCCAATGAAGCAACAGACCCCCTTTCAAATAACACCATACCGTCTTCTCTCTTGAGTTCAGCCGCAGGATTGATTTGTGGCGCCAATCCTAGCCGACACAGCGCGAAATTGCGGGATTCCACGCACACCTTCAACATGATGACTGTTTGAGACCGCATCAGGTTTGGTTGCAGGTATCAAAAGAAGCAGGCAGGACGGCATCTGTCCTGAAAGGAAGACATCTCTGGCTCTCTACTGGATGGAACTTCACAGCTTTCGTGGGGTCGTTGTTGTATCTCTTTACATTCGAAATTCAAACACAAGAAGGGGACAGCAGTTCGGAGTGTACGCCCTCTTCGCGCCACACAAAATGCTGTACCTTGCCTTCAACACTCATCGCGCACAAAGGACTCTGGTATTCGGAAATACCGCCTCGTGGTGTGCTCCTTGCCTCATACCTACTCGCCGTAACCTCTCCCCTGTTGTTTCGTTCTTTGAAGAGGAGAGGCTTGCCACTCAGAGACAAAACAAAAACTCACGCGCCGTACACCGGGCACCGGACACCAAAGGACACACGAAATCGCCCGACCAGCTATGATTGCCACTGCTGTTCAACAACATCAAAGGCCACGCTTCGTGCGGACACACTCACCACGCCTGTTCCTTGCGGTAGCGCCTGCTGTGCGTGTCCGTGTGTCATCTGGTGTCATCGCATCTTGCGACACCAGCGAAGAGACCGGGGACAGCGGGGCCTTGAGAACACGAACAATGAAAGAGGCGTGAAGTCTCGAAACAAACTCCTTTCTTAGAATGAACCCTACTTGTATTACATCTGCAATTGTTGGGAGGCAAAAAAAAAAAATGTACCCTATTTTTTTTTTTTCCCACGACGACGTATGTGCCAGGTTTTGAGACCACGGGCTCCCCATTTTTGTGGACTATTGAGCAATGTGAGAACAACAACAACAACAACTACGTACACGGACACGTCCCACAGACGCCAGACCATCTGCACCAGAGCGAGTTGCTGTGACCCACACCTTGCCGCGGCCGACTGCCTCCCCAACGCGACCCGCCGCGGAACGAGAACATGGCCTCTGCCGCCTGCTGCGCTGCTGGTGAGTCGTCATCTCTCAGTTTGTGCGTCACATGTTGTTGGGTAATCCGGGTAGGTCGAAGCCTTTGTACAGGTTTGTGGAGAACGGCAGCTCGGCTATGTAGTGAGGGCCGAGGTGGGGAAATATTGTATTGGAGGGGAGTGGAACCCGGACTCCCATCACCAGAGAGGAGTGCATAGCCACCATCATCGGTCACTCAATTTCGGTTTGAATCTCCGAAGACACCAAGTAGAATCTCCTGTTCAAACCTACCAACTACCATCAATGATCGCCGTCGATCGATGTCCCACATTCATTCTACGAGTATCTAACACGTGTCAACCACGTGCCTCCTCTCCTATGCATACGTTTACTGCGGTTGTAGAGTGCGCACACCAGACATCAGTCAACCAGTCAGCGCGGTGTGGATGTTATTTGTTATTATAATAGAACACACGCACCAAAATTTGCGGCGCAACAATATTACGCGGCGAATTAAATCCGCCGGAAAAACAAATTCATCGTCCAGTTGTGCGCAAACACGCAACACACGGCAGCCACTTGTCATACGTGTCAGAGAGTAGTCTAGTTGTCTTGGGTTGTGGTTGTTGTTTTTCTTTCTCGTTGTTTTCTCAATGGCACAGATATGTGCGAGATGGGCGCGATTTCCTGGTCCATATTGGTTTTGCTCGCTGTCCCCGGGCATCTTCAACCGGGGATAGCACCTGTGGTCTCCGCAATCAGCTCATCTTGACTCAACGCTTTAGAGTACTGCCTTGGCCGAAACTCACAAGATATCGACGCAACATTTTTTTCCCGGTCGAACTGCTGGCGCTTTCGCAATGACTTGTGCTGTCGAGATGCCACCTCCCGAGAAGCGGGAGAAAAATAAAATTCTACCCGCGGGCGGGTGTGGCCAGGTGTTGGCGGGTGTAGGAACGCCTCTCCTCCGAAACTTCGGCAGAGCGGGCACCGACACCCAGCGTCAAGAGGAGCAGCGCAGCTGCAGCAGCACGCCGCACAGCCGCACGATATGCCGCATACATGCACCTTTCCGGTGCTGTTGTGTCTGCTTGAACAATGTGTGACTCCGGGCGTTTTCCTCTGCTTTTTTTAGGGGACACAACTCATGACTTGTGTCCTTCGTTGCAAAAATGTACTATAATGGAGGGCCTGTGCAACAAATGTTACGTCGTGCGTAGTTCTAATCGGTTGTGTTTGTTCAACTTGTTAACTTTCCAAAGAAGAGTGGTTGCTAGAGAGAAGAGACGCACACACACCAAACGAGCAGGCACAGCTACGGTAGCACCGCACAGCCATCCGCCACAAAGAGTGAACTGTACGCCCACCTTCGGCGCTGTCGAGTCGTCTGGCTGTCAGCGGAAGCAAGAAATTATCGGCGAGCTTCCTACGGCCTTGATTTGGTACACTGCTGCACATGATATCCTTTGATTCCTTCGGGGAAAACATTTAACAGCGCGTCGGTGCACAAGATGCATCTGCTGCGGCACAAATGCGTAGATAATACCCTCGTCTACGATCGTGTGTGCGTACATACGATACCGATAGGTCCTTTGTTTTTTGCCGACGGCATGAGTCAACTGCAGAATTGGAACCACGGACCTTGTCCTGGTACGTCTTCTTCAGCATGTCGTTCTTGGCGGGCTTTCTACATCGCTTTCGTGGAGTACTAACCACTACGGCACCACACTCAAGGCGCCACTGCTGTATGCAGCTGCTCGAGATCATCTTTTAAAGACGGGGTTGGGCAAGAGTGCGGGTGTCGGAATGAAGGGAGCTCTGATGAGGCGGAAGCTGAAGCTTCAGAGCTTCCCTGTGTGTGTGTGTGTGTCTTTGGCTGCTGCTGCTCCTTTTGTAGGTAGATTTGGGCTGGTAACCCACTCCATACGGGGGGAGCCATGTACAGTTGTATAGTTGGTGTCGCGATGCGTGTTTTTGTGCTGCCAAGCTACCGTGACTGCCTATCATCTGAGTGCCCATGTAGGCGACAATCTACCTCTTCTCAAAAAATACATCGATATGACCCATTTCTGATATCCCGCTGGACAACCACGTTACACCCCAGTCCTGACTGCTTCATTGCGCAGAGGAGATCTCACGGCTGGCTGCCGCTTTATTGTGTCTCTGCTGGTACTTTTACGCGCTGCGTTCTTCGCAGGTCCTCCAGTCGAGTGTGACTACACCCCCAAAGGCACCATCTCCAAGATCGGGGACGTCGACACGTACTTCGTCGGTCAGTACTTACATACCTTAGGCTAGCCTCGCTCGGATATGTAAATATGTGTTCACACCAGGTACATCTGTAGAAAAAATAGTCCGGGAGTACCCCCGGCCTCAACTGAAGCCCTTTTCCTCTTTGCTATTTAGCGGGTTCTCACACCAGAAGATTATGTAGAAATGTGTGAGATTTTCGATTTCTATAACGATCCAACGAACACGGGCTGGGCTGTCTCCTTGTTGTGTGCGCTGGTATCCCATCTATTTTGGACGTCGCAGTACGCACCGGGCTAGTGGAACAGAATTACTTGCTGACTTGCTAATGCACGTGTTGCTCAGCCTGTTCCACTTTTATTTCTTAGGTTGGTCTCGGATGGTACGGCTGCCTTTTTCCCGCACACACCGCCGCAGGGTCTGGCCCCAAGGCCCTCGTGGTCGTGTACGACATCTTCGGCTTCAGCCCTCAACTCAAACAGGTGCACGGTCCACAGCACATTTGCTTTGTCTATCGAGATGCTTCTCGGTGGATTTGCTCCCTTGGATGTATAATAATAATAAATGCCGCCTTCTCTGAACATTTCCCGTGTCTGGAGATGCCCTAACTCGAACCCCACTTGCACGGTAACGTCTGCTTTGGTTGCCTCTTGTCTGCCGTCTGCCGAAACGTTTACGAGACATAGGTTTGCGACATGTTCGCGGCCGCCGGCTTCAATGTGGCCATGCCCGACTTTTGCAAGGGAAACCCTTGGCCTCTGGAAAACTTCCCGCCTAAGGACAAGTGAGTCTCGCTGGACACGCATCTTGTTTAACCAAGTCTTTGGAACTCCCCGATGTGGCACAAACGCCAAACGTCAACACCAAGCCCGACCAACCACCCAAAGCTTAGGTGGCCAAATACTCAGGTCAATATAGCGTATCTGGAGCCATTTTTTACTGAAAAATTCGATGCTAAATTAACCGAAAACATCTCATGTCCTCTCGGGGGCGATTGGCCGAAAAAATCGCGAGCATCTTGTAGCATGCTTGGCGTAGTGACGTTTGACTGAATCGGTGAAAGCCTAACGCTGTAATACTCCCACCCTCCGTGGTCAATGATCAAACAACTGAGGCATGCAACACATAAGTAAGCCCCCCCCCCCCCGTATATGTATTCAGGAGCGAACTCGGGGCGTGGTTTGGTACAACCGGGAAATGGGAAACGTCCATCCGCCCTACGTTCATCCCCGCTGTTGCCCACATGAAGGAGCACCGG